AACATATGCAGCTGTAGCAGCTCACTCCTTTTCAACACCAAAATGTCATGCTCCATGGGACCTCCTGTTAGGAATACTGCAGTGTTTATAGAAAATGCAGTAAGTCTGAGAATAGGATATGCAAGTATTACTGGAACTGCAAACACAGGGCCTTATGGGACCTCTCTGATCCCAGCTGCTGCTAAATGGTAAGTATGGGCAAGTGATGTATTTTCCTAAAGCTTTCCTGAAGACTGGGAGAGCAGGCTTTGGTCTCAGTGAGGATGGGGCTGTGGAACCTCAGAAATAAATGTCTTCTGACCATGAGAAAACATAAACAAATAGCAGTGCTGTAGTGACTACAGTGGACTACGGGAAGGAAAGAAAAGAACTGTGGTAGATGAAGGAATCTATACTGAAGTTTAGGCTGATAGGCATGGATATATTTTGATGTCGGAAAAGGAGAACCTTTAAGATATCACTGTGTGAACTCCCAGTCTGACAGTGGACTCTGTTTTCTTTGAAAAGGCCAGAGGAAAGCCTGTTTCCGAATGTTCAGTCTTAGCTCAGAAATTAGCTGAAACCATATAGGAACCCTTTGCCTTGTGAATTATTAAAACATTTGTCTCACTAGTGTCACAGACAGGTTTTGAGATGCATGTCCATGTATCTGTGAGTGAAGGAGCACCCAACTCTTCAAAAGAAAAATGCAAGAACATGGCTATAGTTTGTAAGAGATTTCTTCAGCCAATTTTAGCAGTTCAAATTAATTGGGTTTTAAAGATTGAGGTCTTGATTTTGGAAATCAAAACTAATACATACATCCTTCTGAATCACAGTTACTTCTGTAAAGGGGGATAAACGTATGTGTGAGTTGTTTATAAGACAGTTAAATAAATATCTAGGCGCACAAGCTAAATTAGGATGTTTTCATATGTGACTGTCTTCCCAAAATTTGGGTCTAAGCAATAATTTTAAGGCTTCAAATTTAATATCTCATTAAGAGAAATGAAGTGGAGGGAGCAATTCTGCCAGTGCTGTGGTTTCAGTCCCATAATAATTTGGCATAGTGATTTACACAGAGAACAATAGAGATAGTTTAGAAATTTCTTTCTAATGGAAGTTTTGAAGAACACAGAGACATCTGAAAGGTGAAATTCACAGATTTTTCATGCTTGCAGGTTTTTATAGCCTCTGGTAATGCATGTCCTTACTCTGACATCACATGTATGTGAAAAAATGGATGTAATATTTAAAGATGTCTTTTGACAAAGAAAGTATTTCCATCTCCAGAGGTGAGATTTAGCTTTAAAGGATGATGAGCAGGTTCCAGATGTGTTTTTCAATCGCTGGGCTTTCCTTTTCTTAAGTATTGACAGAGGGAAGGTTTTATCAAGGTCTTTGTGATGTGCTTGTTTATAATGAGTAGACATTAGTAGAGCACATCTAAGCGCTTATCGCTAACAGATGACTAAAGAGAGCATATGGCAGGGAAAAGAAATATGTATTTGTCCAAGCAATGTAGCTTGTTAACACTCCCACACTCATAAACTGTATTTACATGTACTTACAATATTTTGCAAATCCCTTTTCTAATCAGCTAAAAATAAAAGCCAAATAATGATTTTTTTTTCCAATATTGGAGTGTCAGGCAAAGTTGATTTACAATTTTTTTAACAAAGCAATTAAACAGTACAAAAGATTTTTATAGTATTTGTTTTGCTTCAGCATGACGTCTTTACAGCAGCTTATGTGTTATTTTCATTTCAGTGTTAAAAGTTTTATTGTTACAGAATGCTTTTTGATTCACCCACCTGTCTATCCAAGTATAACTATTATACAGCTAGGTTACACTATGCGCAGTAAGACAGGTCAGGATGTCCTGTGTCAAATTCTGGTCTAGATCAGGTCACAAGGTTTATTTTGACCATAAGATTTCCCTCTGCTTCTGTAGGATGAAATCGTCATGCAGGTTACAACACCTGCTGATAAACAGTTTGTAAGCAAAAAAGTCTCTGAATTGCTAACCTAGCCCAGCTCCCATTAGAGTGAAAAAGGGTCTTGGTACCAATTTTGTTTAGAAGGTAGATGGAGAAATGCTGGGGAAATCTGTACATCTTTTGAGATACAAAGTTTCTGATGATCTGTGTGATCGGGAGTATAGCATTCACCCACCTTTTTATAATGGACAGGACACAGTATCACTGTCTTCTCTTGCTGTGACATCTAAATGTGCCAGTCTATTCATATACCATTATTAGAAAGAAGACAATTATAGTTTAAAGATATTTTCAGAATATTCCTAGCAAATTTTTGTTAAATATTAAATCTGGATCCAAGTATTGTCCTTCATAAAACAGTTTATTCTTGCAATTTAGCTTCATTAGAGTCATAATACTGCTTTAGGATATGATAGACTAGTGCTGTGGGATTGAATTATAAAGAGATTAATTTTAGCTACTGGAGATAATTGACCCTATAATTCCTATCACCCCTAATCCCAGTTCAAATGAACCAGTGTTAAAAGTGGCAATACTCACAATGTAGACAAGGTCATGACAGCTAGAATTGTTTTTTACTACCAATTAGATTTCCCACTTGGTGCATTTGAGTAATGTTGTCATACAAAGGGATTTCAGGCATGGAAATACAGTTTCTTTAGAGGCACACAGGCACTGGAACTGATGGGCAGTTTGCTGTACATTTCCCAGTGTACAGAATCAGAATGCAATTGAGTGCTGACCCCTAAAATCTGAATTCATATGGGGATTTAGAACATGATTTGATCCATGATAGATCTAGGAACAAGCTAAATAATTTGAATCTGGAAGCAAACTCTCTTGAAATTCAACAATGTTAATATATGGTGGGTCTAGAAGATCTGGGGCTGACTCTTGGGGTAGTACTACATCTGAGGTGTACTTCAGATGAGGAATCAGAAAAAAGTCAGGTACAGACTGAATAGAAAGTTGTTAAAAACCAAATCATGTTGTTATTTAGCTGCAAATGACATGTAGGTTTCAAAAAATACAAGGAGGAGATAAATGGATTTTAAGTATGATATATCTTAAAAATTCCCTCAAGTGATAGTGCCAACTTCAAACATATTAGCATAAGGACTCTTATGAAAAAACAACAGAACAACAATACTTTTGCATAGCACGTTCAGTATAAGATTATTTTTCACATTATTACTAGTTATCCATCAGCATTTTTCCAAGCATTTACAGATTTGAGTTTTTGCAGTAAGCTGAAACTGCACGATAAAAAGAGACAGATAATGATAAAAAGCAGATGTATACACAAGCCTAGCTAGAAGGAGCAAAATATACTATTACTGCCCCTCCTGTGAAGTTAATCCTATTTCTTTTAGCTATTTCTTCATTAGTTAATGAGGTCTTGAGAAAAAAAAAAAAAAAAACAAACTGAAGTGTGTTTGAAATGGTGTTTTTGCATCCTTGCCTTTAGGAACTTTTTCAAATATTCATGGAATAGTTTGCCCTTGGAAGGTGCATTAAGTGTGAGTTTAGGCAATAATTACTTCAAATGTGTGTGGTCAGAAACCTGCAACTGAAATGGACAAACACAGCAGCTAATCACTTTCCTCATTCAGATTCACCACACTGACTGGAGTCAAAATGTAAAATAGTGGAGAAAGGAGATATTTTAATGATTAGGTTAAAAAAAAAAAAAAAAAAAACACAGCAAACTTCAAGGCTTCGATCACAGATCTGCTAGCATGAATTAGATTTGAATTTGGATGCACTTTGTGGTTTGCAGTCTTATTAAGGAAAGATTTTGTTCTCTCTCTATTAACAATCAATCTCAGATCAGAAGCAGAGAGTTTGGCTGCTGTCTTTGTGAGATGAGTATCAGTGGACTTATAACTACATACCATCTCTGTTACCTCCTCCAGTGCACCTGGTACCAACCAGCATCTCTGACCTCTGGATAGTGAGTCTGGGATCACAGTGAAAGGGACCCACATCTCCTGGAAACCTTCTCTTCTTGTTGATGTTGTAACACACTCTGAGAGTGAAAAAATCTGGGAGACCCTGCAACTGCCAGTTCTTATGGCTCTCTTATCCATGAGTACAAGAACTGCAGTTTCCATTTTCAGTTTGATAACTGGCATCAGTGCTGTACTTATATTCTTTTATTGAAAAAAACAACCCCTTTATTTATTCACAGAACTCCTGAAGGAGTGAAACTGGAAGTGGTGGATTATTCTTTTCCCAGAGTTTCAACTCACTCCATTTCAGGCAGCGTTCTTAGAATTGCATTCTTGAGGAGTGCAATTGGATCTCCCAGGCATCTTCTGGCATTACCTTGTGAATAGGAAAAAAATTTGCCCTCAGAGCTCTCCATACATACATAGTGTACTAGGCAAAGCCATTTCATGTCTACCAGCTCTTAAAAAGCTAGCTGTGGATGCAAGAAGACCATCCTGCAGCTGAGCTCATTGATTACTTCTAGGCTGTTGCTTCTCAAATTGCCAACCACAAAGAAGTAATTTGAGGCTACGAGCAGTGTCTCCATGCTGTAGGTGACTAGCAATTCAATTAAATCCATTCTGGAAAAGTTTCGAAACTGCCGATCTTTTTGCCTTGTATTTAATCTATAAATGTTATAAAATTAATATTTTATTAATTACTACCTTCTTTATTTCAGTTTTATCCCACTCTTTCTTTTCTTTTGTTGAATTTCTAGTTTGTTTTTTTCTTCTTTCTTTCTTTCTGTAACAACCACCACAACAAAAATCAATACCACAGGAGTTCTGAGGTTTTTATTTGAAGAATGTGAAGCATTTGCCTGTTATGTTCTTGTCTTCTTTTTTGCCATGAGAACATGTTGACAGCCAATATTAATAAGCTTAACACTAATACTGGCAGTTACTTACTACAATTTTTGACTCTGTTAAGTGGTCTGTAGGGAATAGTAATGCTATCCTTTAAAAGAAACTGATGTCACAGTTGCATCCAGAATTCACTGAGGTTTCTTTTATTGTTTTTATTTTCCAGGTGATTCATATTACAGGCCGGTTACGTCTGAGAGTGTCACTGTCCCATGGACGGACAGTACCCAGCCAAATCATGGGACTTGTTGTCGTTGCTCATGCTTTGCCACCTCCTACAATTAATGAAGTCAGGATTGACTGCCACATGTTTGTCACTCGCGTGAATATGGACCTCAATATCATTTACTGTGAAAATAGGTACAGCTTTTAGCTCTTTTTTTCTTTGTTTTAGCTGTGTGTATTCCTTGTTCCATGGGCTTGGCAAAAAGTTTTGAAATCTGTGACTCCTGCAATGTCATCGTGGTGTTGTATGAGAGCATTGAATTCACTTTCATCATCATCACCTTCATTTTCATTACATTCTTAGAGGATAAAGTTAAATTCAAAACTATAATTTGCAGGACGTCTTGCAGAATAGGGGAGGATAGACCAGGAAAGATTCCTCTAAGGTTTCCCTGCTATTTACAATCTCTCACCATCCCTCTCAGAGGCAAGATTTGGGACTAGACAGACGTTGGTCTGACCTGTATGGCTGTCCTTATGCTGCCCTGTCCTCCCCTCCACAAGTCTTTCTGTCTGAAGTTTTAGTTTTCCTTTTTTGAACTAATTTGCAGATTACAGCACATCGTGCTCAGTGTTTAATGGAACAGAAGCACAGATGGCCTAGATAGTAGGCTAGAGAGGTGGGATCTGTTGCAGTAAGAGGTGGGAAAACTGTAGAATAAAATTGGTTAAGGGCATACTGGGAAAGACAGCAGTGAAATGGGAACAGGTGATGAGGAGTTGGTTGAGGGGGGGCTATGTTCAGTGTGACAGCGACGAGTGATCTAGGAAGGTGGAAGATAAGATTTAAATTCAGCTGTCTGCTCCTTGGGGGCTGGGTGCCAGTAGCATTAGGGGCTCCCCATGGGGGTCTGTCAGAGCAGGGCCTGACAGCCAGAGCACATCCCACCACCCCAGTCAGGAGCAGGGCAGCCAGGGAGCACCGGAGCAGCTCCAACCCCAGGCGTTGGGCGCATCCCTGGGGATGGGCCGAGGCCAGGCCAGGACGTGGGCTGGGCCCAGCTCGGCAGGGTCTGTGGCTGGGCAGGGCAGGGCTGTGGGGAGCTGAAGACCGGCCTTGCTACAGCAGTGCTGGGGCAGGAGCTGATGGCCCCGGAGGGCTGGCATGGGGTTGTGGGCCGTGGGCAGGGTGTGGGAAGGCCCAGGGGGCTGGGCAGGGATGGTCAGGCTGGTTAGTGCCCTCAGGACCCTCAAAAATAAAAATAAAACCTAGAGTATTTAAAGCAGAGTGAAGATATCTGAGAAGGAAGAAATAAGTAATAAAGAAGTTTGGGTCCATTGATGGAAGTCTGAGATATGGGGGAAAGGTTGGAAAGGAAGAAAGAAGGTCATGCAGCCAAAAGAAATTTTGTCAAGGGGACCTATCATCAAAAAGTGGAACATGCAAGATGACTAATGTAAGATTTTCATGTGACAGCAGCTGTGGCATGTTGTAAGTTAAGAGTGGAAGTTCTCTGATATGAACAATCATAATTGCTCAATCATAATGGAATACCTATGATCAGGATAGCACATCAATATAAACTTTTATAAAAAGGGATAAACTCAAATGCTTTGTTGAATCAGGGCCTTAAGATAAAATTATCTTGGATTTCAGTTATGAGGTTATCTTTGCTGTCATGTTGCCGAACTGCCACAATAGTATCAATAATAATATTACTTGGCTATTAGAAAGAAAACTTCATCAAAACTTCCAAAACATTGTCTAAAAGAGAATACATTATTCTCATTTTTAAGCTTGGAAAAACTGCTCTGTAGAAAAGTGGCTTGCACAAGGTCACAGAGAAAGCTGGTAACAGTATTAAAGTCTGGGCTGAGTTTTTGCCTGTGACTCTGCCCAATGAGCACCTATATTCTGTATAATCTGGCAGCTGGTGAAAGAGCTTTGGGGATTAGCAGTAGGATCTAGAAGCAGCCTTTTGCCTTAGTCTTTGATTTGACTGTGACCTACCTAATGGAAAGCTGCTACCACTGCAGAGCTCTTCAGTGGCCTCTGTGAAATGAGTTGCTGGTATCTGTCCAGTTTCTAATGAACAGATTTCCTTTTAACAAAATCACCTGCACTTACTGTTGCCTTTGTTGGCAACCTCAATATAAAAGCCAGGAATCAAATGGATGTGAAAAATGAACTATTCCGTCAGGTCAAGTATGATATGAATCTGTGCACCATATTAGAAAGATTTATACTTTCTCTTCTGTCAGTTTGGCATTTTTATGAGCCCTAAATTGTCTATGTTTTTTTTTTAATTAAGCATTTTTCTCCAACCTTCCTTTTACATTCATGTAGCAATAAAACTTTCAAATGCCTGAGAAAGGCATCACTGAAAAACGTAAAATGCATCAGATGTGGAGTACTGATTGGTAATCAGATAGAAAGAGTTGGTAACACATGGTAAACTATGGTAAGCCAGCCAACTTATGCAAGAAAGCATTGAGCTTACTAATGTTTTTCATTCATTAAGGTAAAGGCAACATTATAAAGCAACTTTTACTTGTTTGTGATGGATTTTATCTCATATGCTAGGGTAGAATGCGTATGATGGTACTTAAATTTATGTTGCAAAAGTTCCATTTTAAGCCCCTGTGTCAGTGTTAAAAATAGTTTATAAAAGGAATTTCAAATAGTAGAAACACTTCTGCCAGGGCTGGGAGGTGAATGTTAGCCCACTGAGGCAGCGGGATTTCCACTCATGGAAAATGGAGTAAGATTGACAGGACTTGAATTTCATAGCAGGTAGAAAGCAGAATAGGACCGTAAAAGCTGGAGGAATGGAAAGGACAGAAGAAGGGAAGGAATTAACTGAACAGCTGATTGAAGCTGTCAAATGAATTAGCTGGGTATTTGCCAAGGCCATTCTCCAAGTTGGGGAAGTTGGGATCTCTCTTCTGGGACTATAGAAAAGGAGATAAGTATCCCATCCTGAATATATGGGCTTGAGTCCTGGCCTTGCGGGCAGCTGGAAAATTCTTTGTGATGCCACAGTAAAGCAAGCACAACATTGATGAAAACAGAGAAAAATGGATTCATGCTGGGGAAGCTGTAAGCACTATTTATGGAGCAATGGGGAGTTACTGGCAGCTGCAGGGAGTATGGAGCAGAAGCCATGCTACTTAACTGAAATGAATGCTCACAGTGGACCATTGGATCAGCAGGGGTGAGATCAATAGTACTCCTAGTTTTCCAAGTGGTTGCCTGCTTGCAACAGCAGGGAGCAGGAGTGACATTACTCAAGTCTTTGGGTGCATCTTGTTACTTTTCTCTGAATGAAGAGATCTGCATCAGAATCCTGGACTCGGTGAACAAGCTAGTCAACAGTTAGCTCCGCTTTGAGACAAGGTTCGTTAGCTAGTACACTCGCTATTTCTAACAATTAATATTTTATTCTGAGAGTGTTAAATGAGGATGTAAAATTTTGTTGCCTAAAATGTGGTATGTTAATCCACGTCTGTTTTCCAAATGTGGGATTCATGTCACCTAAATTTCACCATCTAGTCTAAAATAGTCTGGAATTCTTTATTAGTCAGTGGCGCGAGAAAAGCACCTGCAGAGGACAAATCCTCTTAGATGGTGACAAATAACTAAAAGCAAAATAAAGAGACTGCTGCTAGAGTACAGCATCAGTCTGTGTATTATCAGTGTCAACTGTGTTTGGAGACCATCTGGAGAGAGACTATAGCCCAGTTTAACACGGACTGCTATAGCCATATCTGCTAATATATGCCCCCAAAAAAACCCCGTTGAATATGGTGTTTTCCAAATGGAAGGAGTTTGGCCTGTTGGCCATGACAGTGGTGGCCAATAGTTCCTTTGGATATGCAGAAATAGTCTTGTGTAGAGAGCCTCAAGCCTACAAATGTGTGCAGTTTGGTCCTAATTCAGCAAAGCACTGTACCATGTACCTACCTTTAAATTTCAATCATGTTAACAGTCCTGTAAGTCAGTGGAACCACTGATCTGCTCAAACATCAGCCTGTGTTTATGTTTTACAGGATCAGGTCCATGTACTCAGCAGAACCAAGTTCCTACCCATCAACCTGTTGCTTTATTTTGTCAAAGGACTTGGTAGCCACAAGATCTGTCTCCTAACTACTGCTCTAAGATATACTATAATATTTATTTCTTTTTTCCATGTGAATTATTTATTTTCCATCTTTGGTGCCTTTGATATAAGCATGGGTGTCCTATTTGATGTAATTTCTTTTGCTTCTGGTTTAGGTGTCATTGCTTGCTAGTGAACATCACTTACATCTGGATATTATTTCTGTTTCTTATTCCACTTTTTTCATCAAAAAAAACTCTCTATGTCCTTCATATGTGTGTTTGAAACAGCTTTTTCTTAATATTATAGAATCATAGAATCATTTAGGTTGGAAAAGACCTTTAAGATCATAAAGTCCAACCATAAACCTAACACTGCCAAGTCCACCACTAAACCATGTCCCTAAGCACCACTTCTACGCATCTTTTAAATGCCTCCAGGGATGGTGACTCTACCTCTTCCCTGGGCAGCCTGTTCCAATGCTTGACAATCCTTTTCCTAGTATTTTTCCTAATATCCAATCTAAACCTCCCCTGGCACAACCTTAGAGTTACAGGATTGTAACTTTAGTTACAGGATCTGCTTCCACCGTTGCCTTGCTGTGTTCATTTTTATCTGTGAAAACTTTACACAAGCTTGCTGCTGCAGACAAACAAAATACAGCTGAGTCAAATTTACCAGAGGGGAAAGCAGAATGATCATCTGCCATGTTAGCCCTGTGAACTGTAGCACTCACAGCCTGGGTACATCACAGGGCAGTGGCCTGCCTGGAGATTGCCCCCTCCTACTAGGCTGGGCAGGGTGGGATTTCTTCTCACTGATCTTGAAGCAGAGCCACCTTCTAAAAGAAAACACACAGTTCTTGGGCCAAAGAAGAGACAGCAAAGTGTGCCAGTGAGGAGAGTGTAGTCATGGGAGAGGGAGAGACTTGAGTTCTGGTTCCTGCTCCATGGATTGTTTATACACTTAATTTAGTATAAAAAGATAATATACAGTCCAGGGAACAGGATCCTTTAAATCTCAGACTTTCTTCCTCCTGGTGAGTTTTCTTATCACTGAGCAGAGATCTCAGGTCCTTTGTTTACCAGCTGGTAATTATTCACTATGCAACCAAAGCGGAGGAACTCAGCAGGAGGCACAGGGAGTCCCACTGACACTGTTCCAGACTTGTCTTTATTCTGGTGAATTGTGTCCTCTCTGAGAAGGTAGGAGAGGTGCTTTTGAACTGTGTTTTGTAATAAGCATTACACAGGTATCCTCAGATGGATATTCCACATTTGGTTAAGTGCTATAACTACCAGGCAGTTGTTTGAAAGTGCACATACTTCAACATGCTTTATCATGAAAGTGGGAGAAGGCTTGTGTTTTGTGCTAAACTTGATTTGACAGTTTTTGCTAGCACATTTGAGTCCACCTGCTTTACCTGTGATGTTTTTCATGTTTGGGTTTTTTGTTTTGTTTTTTTTTTTTTGATTGGGACAAATCACCAGTGCTGCTGTGGTGCTAATACCTCCATTCTCCTTCATTCTTTCTGGTCTATGCATTCTCCCTGCCTCAGACACCCAAGCAAACACAGCTCTGCTAGTCAGTGCCTCAGTGGCTGTGTTCGGCCCCTCTGCCTCCTGGGAACCCCTCAGACCTACACAGTTCAGTTCCTGCTTTAGCCTCCCCACTGGCCTCCCTCAGGATCACACTCCAGTTTCAGCTATCTGGTTATATCAAGATGTTTGGTGTTTCTTACAACTGCCTTAAATAGATAGCAATTATATCTTACAATTGCAAAATGTGCTTAACCTCAATCATTGCAGCGCATTTCAAACTCTAAAAAATTATTCTGTTTCTAGAAAACAGACATACTTTTAAATGCTTGTGTGAGCAAGGCATTTTCCGATTGTTTTGTTATTTTCTGTACTGCATTTAAGGGCACTGACATCTTGACACTCCATGACAGAAGTTTACACACACACACAGACAAAAGCATGCAGGCACACACACACACAGACACACGCACACAAAGGTCTGTAGAACAGATTTTAAAGTTTCTGTGTGCAATAAATAACAAAGTCCGAGTTGAAAGGGCCCAGAGTGAAAGCTGAGCTCCCAAATGAATTAGACTAAAAAAGATAACACCCTGAGGCATCTGTATGTCTCAGCATTTAAATTATATCCCTTGAAATACCAGTTTGGACTTGGTGCCACGAAATGGTTGAAGAACTTTTTCATGAATATACCCAATAGAAGACCAATCTGTTGAAATGAAATGTGTCTCTAATCATTTGGTATAAACATAACATGTTTTTATTTTATTATGTAACCTTGAATTATCTTGGTCTTTTAATGAGGATTTTGGATTGTTGCTAATGCTTTACAGTTTCATGGATTTATATTGTCTTGGTGTTACGCTATGGGGAGAATATGCACTAGAATTTAACTTTGCACTTAATTAAATGGATAAAATTATTTCAAGATTCTTTAAAAAACATTTTCTTTTTTTTTTTTTTTAAGGCTGTGTCTTGTTTGTACAGATATTCCATTCAAATTGCTATAGTGGTGAAAAAACTTATTTCACTTTCTGAGTCGTTTGACAATTCCTGTATTACTTTCCTTCTTGAATTATAGGCTATATTTTGTTTCCTTTTTAGGATTAGTGATTACATGGATCTGACTCCTGTAGATATCGTAGGAAAGAGATGTTACCACTTCATTCATGCTGAAGATGTGGAAGGCATCAGACATAGTCACTTAGACTGTAAGTACTTCCATTTTTGTCAAAATAATCTGGTACAACACTTGATTGTTCCTGAACTATTATTTATATTCCACAACTCGGATCTTCATCTTGCACCTGCTTTTTTTGTCATAGGGTTTCACAGAGGGTGGCTCAAATATAATTTCTGTATGATTTATTTTCAAGTATTTTATAGACATATAAGATTGTTCACATATGTGAAAATAAAAAATTATATTTGTCTTACCAGTGTTTCCAGCAGCTGTTCATTTACACGTGCTGTGCATTATTTTACTCCTTCAAAGAGATATTGCTTAAGTGAGAAACTCCCTCCCTAACACAGAAATGATCTCCTCTCTTTGTTTTTTATTTCTGAGTCATAACATGGAGGTCAAAAACTGCATCATATTTGGAATTTCACCAGGTTTTTCAATACAGAACTGAGCTACAGCGTTACCAGTGTTTTAACCAGCCCGTGTATTAACATCTAAATGGCCCCCATCCTTATAGCAACTGGGTCTCTGTTATTTGCACACAGGTAGTATCTGATCAGGATAAGGATAACAGAAGTACAAAAATGTTACAAGAGACAAACCTTACGAGAGAGCGTGTGCATATGTCTGTATACGGGGGAAGGGAGGTTCAGCTTGATTCCTTGTAATTAAACTCTGTATTCTTCTTATTAAAAGCCATAGGGCCTAATTCTTTTCTTGTTGAGATCTGTTGACTTCAGTGACGGTGCTCCTGATTTACCCTGGTGCGAAAAGAGACAGGCCCATAATCTCTAATTTATCTGTGCCTGCAGTGAAGCCAGATAATTCTTTGGAAGTTTCAGTGACTGACTGCATTTATGATTGGCTTGTGCGTTTTTCTAAATGTAACAGACTATCTGCAAACTGCCTCTTAAAGTCAGAGTCCCAGATTTTAATAACTCTGCTCCCCCTGCACCATGTCCTGCTAGCATTGCCTAATAAAAGGGCAGCAACCCAAATACAGCCACAGTTAATTAACTTTTACAAAACCATATGTCTACAATAGAAGACAATATAAATCTTCAGCCTGAAAGTACCTTGCTTGATCTGCAAGAGAAGATAGGAGGATAACTACAGCTGGAAAGCAGGAGAACAGGGACAGCTTCTATGATAATATATGGCAGCCAACAACAGTATCAAGCTCTGTAAAGCTTTCAAATAGTCCCTGAAGTTTCTAGAAGGTAAAATGCATTTGGCATAAGAAGGTCAGGTTAGATACATTTCAGTGGAAAAAAATTAAATCAACTATCCAAAATGATAAACAAAGTGATTTTGCATCATTTACATTTTGAGTGTTTAATATCCAGAATATGTCAGTTGCTCAGAAATGAAGGAAGAAATTCAGAAACTTACTTGATGCTCTTGAAACTGGAAGTCAAAAATGACAAGTTGCACTTCCACTGCACTATCTGACCGAGGAAATAAAAGATATTTATGACTCAGATTTAACATACCACCTGGCAGAGATGAACATCCCCTTTGAAAAAGACCTTAATCTTCTGAATGACCACTTCTCTCTATTTCATAGAATATGCTTTATGAAACATTCATCTTAAGAAAACTTACAGACCTATGCAGACAGTGTGAGTGCAGTATGGTCCAGTGTATAAGCACTGGACTAGGACTCAGGAGACCCTGGAGACAGGAATGACTTCTAGAAAATCACTTCACCTTACTATGTTCCAGCTCTCACTGTATGTCCAATTTAGCTGACTGGATTGCAAATTTTATAAACACAGGGACTTTCTCCTGTTACCAGCATCCTGCACAGTGAGGTTCCAAACTTGATTGTGTGGCTATAGCATAATTATTCTTGCTAGGCTAATTTTTTTTCAATAGATGAGGCTGGTTATATGTTTTATCTGTTGTTCTCCTGGCTTGTAGGAACAAGATGTTCATAGAATCATTCATGTTGGAAGGGACTCTGAGACATCATCTAGTCCCACCTCATGCTCAAAACGGGATCAACACTGATTCAAAGCAAATTGTGTGGCACTTTTTCTAGTTGATCTTGAAAACCTTCAAGGTCAGACTTTCCACAGCTTCTCTGGGTGGCCTGTTCCAGCTATCCTTAATAAGGCCTTAATTACCCTTACGGTGATTTTTTTTTTTCCCCCCTTCTATCCAGTTGGAATTTCCCTGTTTAGGGTTGTGCAGCTCATGGTTCCATCTTTGCAGTAAACTCCTCGCAGGTATGCTGTTAGGTCCCCCTGAAGCCATCTGTTCTTCAGGTTGAACAAGCCTGGTCTCACAGCCTTTCCTCACAGGGCAAGTACTCTAGCCCCCTACTGTCTTGACAGACCTCTGCTAAGCTCACTGAAGTTTATCAATATATTTCCTGTGCTAGGAGCCTCAAATTAGATTGCAGATGCAATCTAAAGAGTGATGAGTGAAGGGGAATAATGGCTTCCTGTAATCTACTGGCTATACGCTTTTTAGTACAGCCCATAGAGCACACTGCTGCTTCATGCTTAGCATACTGTCCACCAGGATCCCCAGGTCCTTTTCTGCAAAAGCAACAACCCAGCCAGTGACTCCTCAGCCTGTCCTATTGCAGGGAATCAGTCCATCCCAGATACAGGACTTTGCATTTGTCTTTTCATATTCAAACTCATGCTCTGGATGAAAGATCTTCAAGTCTAATTTAGACCTGGGAATAGCTCAGGAAGTATACCTGCCCATTGTAAGTCCTGCAGAAGCTGAAGTGGTTCATATCTTTGCCTGGAGAGATGCTAGCATTTGGGAAAAAAAAGCACCTTTGTAGAAAAAAAACAAGAGAAAGAATTTGCAGAACCCCAAAACATTTCATAGCAACTTGTCCATCCTAGAAAATCAAGTTTGAACCAAACTAGAAAGAGAAAATCCTCCTGGTTTAGTTAAAATAAAATTAGAGCTAAAATTCAGGAACTTTCAGACACTGACTGCAGAAGGTAAAGCCCAGCAGAACTGCAATTCCCCAAAATGAACAATACAGGAGATTTGCCAGTACAACATAGGAAATAATTGCTTGAGATTACAATGGAAAAAAAGAAAGCAATATTTTGAAGAGGATCTGGACACTAAAGTAATGGTTAGAAAGCCTTATTGAAAAGTAGAAGCAGGACTTCAGAAAGGAGAAAACTGAAGAGGTTGTGTTTGATGGAGGACTGCAGAATGCAGCTAAAAATCTTGATTGATTTTTACAGGAGAGAAAATAATTTTTAAAGATTAAAACAAGAAGAATCCCAAATTGCAATGGTAGATCTAAGGATGAAAAGAAACATAAATAAAACTGCTACTCTGCTTATTCAGTGACAACATATCAGAAAAAAATGGAAAAAGTAAGACCAGTACATCCTGCCTTCTTATCCAGGTTATTCAAAGACATCAAAGAGGAAAACAAGCAAAGAAGAAAATGTTGCACAAAATCACATAGAAAAAAATCAAGAGGGCTGTTGATGGCTTCAGATCATAGCAGCCCATTAGAAACTTTGAAAAACAGGCCTTGTTAACGCTATCTCAGATAAAAGAAGACAAAAGCAGTTCCAGGAATGTGACCATAACAAGTAGAATGTTGAAGAAGGTCTGCAGGACTATAGCAGTGACAACAGTCTTTTGTAAGAGAACTGCTGCCCTAATGAAAGGTCAGTTACAGTCAATGGAAAAGCTTTCATTGGCTTCAATGGATATGGGGATTATGGCCTAAAAAAGCAAATTTATATGAACTAAAATTCTGACCCCACCGAAGTAAACAGCACAAATTCCATTAGGTTCAGTGGGGTCAAGATTTCTACTTAGAGATTTATGTTAGTTATAGCCTGATGCCCTTGTGGATTAATAAAACAACATTGATGCTCTAACTCTACATATACCTGCATTTTTTCCAACACAATAATACATAGTGGTAATCCCGCAAGTTATTGAAGCATCATTTTTTTTCAAACAGAGATAAAAAGTTTAAGGATATTGTTTCTATCTTGTTTCATTCAAGCTTTCAATGGTCATGCTTTTTCAAAATCTCCCAGCCAATTGTTTGGTGTTACAATTCTACCTTACTAACCTGTTACCCATTTTATAGTGCTTCATGGTTTCAGAAGTCTGGCAAACTTCTCATTTATTCATCTTTGCTGTGTTTGTTGAACAAATTGCTGGTAGAATCCTGACAGATATCACTTATCATAAATCAAGTCTCTCTCACAGAGATTATAGTTAAAATGTTCTCTAGTCTAACAGCCTGTACACCATCCAGCATCATGGCTCAGCTGTTGGCTCCACTGATAGCTAAGCTGGAACAACTGGCTAAGCTGCAACAACTTGTGTTTGAATCCGAGCCCTCAAAAATTGCAGGCCTAGCTGTACCCTGGCTCAGATACTGTCCCTCATCCTAGCTTTGTGTAACAGAGCTCTTCATTAGGATATGTGGCATGAAAGAGTTGAAGTTGAATGTTTTACGTTTCATAGTTATACATCTAGAACTAACACCCTAGAAAGACCCCTCATGCCCTCAGTTCTTTACCACTTGTAAGAATGGGGAAGGTGAACGGATCCTCTCTTTTACTTACCTCTGCATAGAAAGGGCTGAACTGCATGATAAGCATAGGGCAGTTCATACACGTTCACCAAGACATGAGTCCCTGCATGTGTAGAGCTGCCCTTGTTCCAATGACAAGAAAATATCCCTGATTTTAAAGCTAGCAGGATGCATTTTATGTTAAATCAATATCAGAAATCGAGCAGATTAATAAATTTACTGTTATATCAGGTCTTGGTGCTGTGTGTAGAGCTCAGCAAGGGCAATTGACACTCGCTGCTCTCTGGAGTACAATGCTGTGCGTATGTGTTTCCCTTTGGTTGACACTGTTATCATACAGAGGTCTATAACATCCCTTTTTGATTTAAGTACATTTCTTGCTAAGAATGAATTGATGTCATATGCTGTAGAAGTATACATCGTCCATTTAATTGAAAAAAATTAATGATCTTCATTGAACATCAAGTACTTGATGTTAC